AACATTGAAGTGTTTCCTGACTTGGCCAGAACAAATTGGTAAAACTGAGAACAGTCCGCTCTTTTCTGAAGCTCTCCGTGGGTGTTACCTTTTGATCTTTATACATTCAATAAACAGTGGGAGCACACACATTAAAAACTGTTTTTACAGGCTCGTTATAAGAAAACCAGTTTCATAACATAGATGTGCTGTAACATGTGTTGTTAATGTGAAGACTACAGGTTAAATATATCTAACCTAAACTCAGTGTTTAAACTTTTCTTTTTGGCAGACGACATTAAATGACTGAAGTGACATCATATTTTTTGCTGAAGCTGAAACCCCAGGATGCTCTCATCCCAGGGCATGATATAGTCAAAGGGTCCTCTGGAGATGAAACCACAATGCGCCTGGCATGCTAATACTGGCTGAGGAGATCCTGCTTCAGAGACCTACTTAGTCTATAATAGAAGGTTGCAGGTGTGGTAATGGCATGAGCCGAAGGTCTGTCACCTTGGAGACTGTGCTTCACGTTGTTTTGTTCAGCATGTCCTTTTCTTCTTCACATGCTGATTTTTTTTAATGTTTACTAAAAACTACTTGGTTAAATAAAGCACTATAAAATTATTCATTTAGCTTTAGCTACTTAAACTTGGTTAGCATTCTGTCACACTAGAGTAAAGTAAGATGGCAACCTCGCAACTAGTTAAAAAAGAAAAGAAAAAAATGATACCTCCATGGTTACATCTTTGGAAATCAATTCCCACTAGTTGCAGTGACCTAGAGGCTGAGCAGGCAACACGTTCAGCCTCTGGGCGATCACTTTCAATCTTAAGCCAAATGCATAGGTCACCTGGTGCTCTAAACAATCATGGTCCAACTCAGACTGACTGCAACCACTCGCAGGCAGATTGGTGAAGGACTGCAAATAACTGCTGTCTGTATTATTAACGGAAACAGACTGCCAACATATTCAAATCATACTGAGACAATCAGCACTGATGAGTGCAACTCATCTTTGCAATTTAAAACTAATCAAGGCTTGATCAGTTTCAGGATAGGATCCTGGATGGCAGGCACAGGAAGTCATAATAGCAGCCCATTTTTCATTTTGATGTTCTGAATTGGTTTGATAGTTTGGAAGTGCTTTTTGTTTTTATTCTGATCAATGCATTTGTGTTAAAAAACTATAGCTATAATTTCAGGACCATGGACAGATGTACACATTTGACAGTTGTCTCAATGGTCAATGTGTTGGCTATTTTACCATTTAATACAGAAAATGCTATTTTTGTCATATGCTGAAATAAATTCAACAGAAGCTGTAGTCTTTATAGATAGCTCTATTAAAAAGAGAAAAAACTGAATGCTTAAAATAATAATCAAAGTGCCATCTTGAAAAACATAACTTTTAAAATAGATTTACTGTACTGAAACTGCAAGAAATAAAACAAATGTAAATATAATATGCATAAGTCATGATATTATGCACAAACATGGCCTATTTTTGATGCTTTCTGGTTTCTCCCTGGCTTCTAGGACACTTTCTTTTTGCGCCCTGCAGTTCTTGTTGTCCAGGATGAGTGGAGGTGCTTCTTGTTATTATTCCAAGGATGTGCAACAGCATTTCACTTATGGAATTTTAAGCCTGTAGTAAAGTATCCACTGACTTTGCCAAACCAGATACCGCTGTTGTCATGCTCTTGTGTCTGGGTCACAAGTGCTTTTGTGTCTCTTTGCATGTCCCGTACACTTGCTGAAGTCAGAGCTCTTGGCACATTGGGTATGTCATATTGAAATGAACCGTGTTTTTGTTGTGGTTAGAAAACAGTGCAACATTTGTAAATCACCGATAAAACTAACCACACCTATCAACGCTATTTTATTCCGTTTAGTAAAATCACCCTTTTTACGTCAGACGCTGACAAAACAACATTAATTGTGCCCGGGATTGAGAGTGGGGTGAAAAACCAGCTGTGGAGCTGTGATCAGTGTGTACTGGTATCCTGCTGACAGCGCTTATGGTCAAAATTACCCTTGCTGCGATACTGTGGTTTTGATGCTATAATTACGCTCCCACTATATGAAATGCTAATCTAGAACAGAAGTGTCCTGTTTGTCTCAGCAGTGAATACAATGAGGGTTTGTTTGAAGACTACAACCTGAGCACTGCCCACATCCAACCTTGAACCAGGCCTGTGCAGAAACTTTTATAAGTAACTTAGAAATGTAGGCTCTTCATTAAAAACTACTGAATGCTATTTTATTTTTAAGCAATTTTGTGTAACTATTTGTCACATTAAATGTTGCTGGTTAGGTTTACAGTGACATCAGAGATATTGGAGTTGATATAGGGTCAGTATGAGGCAGAAAACATATCAGCAACTTCAAAATTCAAAGTGTGCTGATGACACTTGAGACTTTGGTGTTGCTGGTATCTTTTTTTTCTGCTGGATTTAACATTGTGTTGGTGAATCTAAAGCTACAGATCTAACACTACAGAATAGGGATTTTTTAACAAAGTGTTACCTGCAAACAGGCGCATCTGAAAGTCTATATTCTGCAAATCACAACAGTAAAGAATAAACAAGCAAAGGGAGAAATGTGTCAGCAGAAATCAGGATTAAGATCAAGCAAACTAAAAGCAAGACACACAAAATATTTTCAAAAATATGGCTGCATGAATCATCTGAGGGCTGTATTCATGCAGCACTGAAAATTAAAGACAGAAATGATCATCAGGACTCCAATGTCAGAAAATGTGTAAAAAGAGAATAAACATATAGCACCAGCAGTGCCGAGCCTTCCCTCTACTTAAGGGAAGTGATGCAACATAGAAAGACACAAGAACTCAACATTGAACCTTCTGTAAAAATAATAAAGGGTAAAGAAAGTTCTAGTTGAAGTTGAGGGTAACGAGGTCCACGTTTCTTTGCGTGACTCTAAAACAGTGAGACTTATCTGAGTATTAGTTCTTGTGAATGCTTTAAAAACACTATAAATAACTCAAGTCGAGCATTATGAAAAGAGCTGAACAACTTCCTGGGTTGACTGGAGAGTGTAAAGTAAAAGCAGCTGTCACTTTGAGGTAAACTCTAAGAAACATTTTTTACTTCTACTATATGAAATTTAACTATCCATCCATCCATTCGCTTCCGCTTATCCTTTTCAGGGTCGCTGGAGCCTATCCCAGCTGTCATAGGGCGAGATACACCCTGGACAGGTCGCCAGTCTGTCGCAGGGCCAACACACAGGGACAGACAACCATTCGCACTCACATTCACACCTAGTGGCAATTTGGATTATCCAATTAACCTATCCCCACAAGCTGCATGTCTTTGGACGGTGGGAGGAAGTACCCGGAGAGAACCCACGCAAACACGGGGAGAACATGCAAACTCCACACAGAAAGACCCCGGCCTGATGGTGGAATTGAACTCAGGACCTTCTTGCTGTGCAGCAACAGTGCTAACCACCGTGCCACCGTGCTGCATGAAATTTAACTATTACAATAAAAACTATAATCCTCACATTAATTTAATTAACGTGGACCAATGGTGCTGATTTCAAGCTCCATATTTTTTCTGACTCTAGTAGAGTAGCTTTGCATGGCCTGTATTTCAAAATAATCCTTATTTGTCTGATACTGCTCCTTGGTGAAGCCCTTCACTTCTTCTCTTCTATCTTTTTATTTCATTCTGATTGGTCTGATGAAACTACAATCATCCACCATTATGACAGCATACTTATGAAAGAAAATAAGGCAGTCAAAATATCAGCTTTACTATTTAAGGCTGCAGCAGTTACCGATGCAAAACCAGTATTTCTTAATGTTTGCTTGGCATTAGAAGCTGAGAATGGATTCTATTATGGAGCTTTTACAGGAAATCACTGACTGAATCTTATTAGAGAATCACTTGATGACACTGCAGTGAGAAATGGAACAAGAAGAAAAAAACCACAGAAAAAGTGACTTTGTGGCTGGTTTAGTCTGCAGGTCTCAGTAACTTTGTGTTGTCAGACGGGAAGACTCATTATTTACAAAATTGAAAGTCTGACATTCTCAGCTACAAACCTTTGATTGTAGCTGTCTTTTTCACTGGAGTATATCTGAACAACAATCTCAGGGTCTTGGAAAGACTTTTTAAAAACATGTGCAATTTCATAAAGACAATTCATGCCTCTCCCTTCGAACTATAAACACATTTTATTTTCACCATAGACATAAAGATTTTCAGAGAGATAATAACCTGGTGATAAAACCTGTTCACACATATAAAACGATTCGCTCATGGAGCAGCTTTGTAGCTGACAGCTGTTCAACAAAGCAGCTGTTCCACGTTCCAAATAGGTTGATAACCATGTATTTACTAGCTTATATGTCACTGCTTCCACTGGCAGTCACTTCAATCACTTTGACTCTTTAATCACCCATTTCACCTGTCTACAAATCACTACATTTCATCAAACTCCCATGGTCTCTGGCTGCCAGATTGCTGCTTGTCCTCTCTACACCACTTTCAGCATTTCCACCAGTGGGTCACCTCCCCCATGCTGGCCTACGCACTGTGGCTTTTCTAAGAAAGAAGAAGAAGCTACATGTTTCTTTCTTAGAAAAGCCACAACATGCTTTTTCATCCACATATTTTCATTAGCGAATTAAAAATATTTTTTTTGAGAAGTAGTGATAAAATGCAATAAAACAATAAAAGAAACAATCACAGACCAGTTTACCATACTTGGATTAAATCCACCCTCGACTAAAAGAAAAATAACTACTACAAAATGTTTTTTGTCTAAAGACTGGCTTTAATGCATGACTTGCAAACTGAGCCAAAAAGTATTAAACCTTACTTGCTGCCACCACCAATAACTGGGGATGTCTCCAGATTTCCAGAAATCCTCAATATAATATAATATATACATAGGAAATAGTGGTGTACTAGTGTAAAATATCTTTACCAGAAATGTAGTATTTGAAACTGTTATTGTTCCCATGGTGGTTTTATCACATATCTTACCTCTTGTAGCAGGTCAGCCTGCTCGATGGCCTTCAGCACATTCTTTTTAGACGTCTCTTGAGCTTCTCCGCCCAGCAGGAATTCATCCAGGATGAAGTAGGCCTTCTCAAAGTTAAAAATAATGTCCAGTTCACAAACCTGGTGACCAACATGCAATAACTTTAAACATTAATGAACAGCTCAGCACGTAGGAATTATAACTAAGAATAATATTAGGAAGTCAGACATCACAAACGCACACTGCCAAAGTATTTATCCAACAGCTCCACATATCTGTGGATGATCTCCAGCGTGATGAGCTCGTTGTCCTGGTCCTCAATGGCACAGCAGAAATACAGGCTGGCATATCTGCAACACAGCGAGAAGCAAATTCACTTCAACTGAAAAAGTTCGTTCCCTGCTTTCTCAGAAAAATAATTCTGAGAAAGTTTCATATGAAAACTGTTGTTTTAATTACAACTGTCAAGTAGAAAAAGTCATCCCCATCAGCACAGTGGAGGCTGTTATTTTCATTCATTCTTAAAGGCTAAAATAGGAAAAACTACATAGTCGAAACAATATACAGGGTAGTACAACATGCATTGCATTTGCTGTGTGATTTATAGAGTCTATATTTCCTGCCAGAGTGCAGGAAGGAGGCTGCTGTGTCCTTTAAATGTCTCAGGGTCTTCGATATAATCAAGAGAGGGCAAATATCTCCACAGCTGATGTCTCCAAAACTGCATGCTGTACACCCAAAAAAGATAACCATCACTACAGCCCAGAGAAAAAATAACATGAATTAGATTTTGAGGTGAACTATCCCTTTAAATAACAATCTTTCGTTGTGAAAACTACATCATCAAATAGCCAAAGCCAAGGAGCAGACTTCAGGCATTTGTAAAGCTGCGACAGGCTCTCACAGTGATGTACTGTCTCACTGAAATGGTGCTGAGAGGGCATTTCTCCGTTATTATTAAGGCCTGCTGTTTACTGTGCACAGGGTATTCATTTAAAAGCCAGAAGCCGGACGCAGAAGGCTGAAACAGTTAAGACCCATTCTGCCATAGTTCTTTATCCCTGATAATCCCTAAGGCACTAGGCATGTGATGATTGGCTAATAAAGGAGCTGGTCAGTTGATCCTCTGAAACCAGAGGAGCAGCAGGACACAATGGACAGGGCTGCAGATTCTTAAAAAGACAAGTGTACAATACTCGCAGAGGTCACAGAGAACAGCAAAGCTGCTTATTAGCCAGGCTGTTTTCTGGTGGTGAATTCTTGATTGTTTCGAGCTGTTGTCTATCTTTGTCTACAGTTTGTGAAAATTAATGCAAGGTGTAGCCAAGCAGGAAGCACAAAGGGCTCGGTTCAGTCATTACAAAAGAGCAGTGAGACAGCATTTTTACTGGAGCTGACTCACTCCAGAAACAAGTCAACGCTTTCAAAGACAATGCACACTCTGTGTAGAGAAGGCTCCCAAAGTAAAGAACATCTTTATGTTGCATTGGCAGCCTGATGGCACAGGTCCCCCTGTTTTATAAGTGGATTAGTCTTCAATAAGACATCTTTATAGAATGTTGCTTAACACGTAAGTAAGGGTTATATTAACATTTCACATGTGGCAGACAGTTTAGAGCCTTACTTGGAGGTACACTTTGAATTTCAATTTAGTCTACTTTGGGAAAAATATCAGCATGAGTTCTGCTGGCAAAGCATCCAATCACAGTTGACATATAAGGAGAAGCCTTAAAGAAATTTATGGGAGAACTGTGAAACTGTAAAGATGGCAGCAGCCCAACATTCAAAGAGCCAATCAACATCTGAGCCTGGAAACATATTATCCAATCACGGTGCACTGACACATGCCCTCTATAGAGGTTTATGACAGTTTCAACTGTGCAGCAAGCAGCTTAAATCCTCCCTACTTGTTACTGTAAAGAGGACGTATCATAGAGAGTATAAAATATGGTAACAGCCACTGTGAGGTCACCCCTGAGTTACTGAAGACCAGTTATCGAGCTTTGGCTTGAGCTGTTTCACCATCTCCATTTTGGTGTACTGAAACCAGATGTAATGAGGGAGTTGTGGATGTGACTGTAAAATGCTGAATTACATGTGGTTAGCCAATGAGCATACCCCAAATAGTACTTCTTCTTGATTCTCAGATAGACCAAAAATGTCAAAATAGACTTAATGTTTTATTCTGCATGAACTGAAACTAGTAAGATTCTAGCTTCTACCCAGAATCTATTTTATACCTTCAGGTATGAGCATAGACGGAATATCATGATCTAGAATTGTTCAGCACCCTGATAGCATGTGCAGAGAAGCTGTACATGTTGGATTGAGCCATAATGAAGCAGAAAAGTCAAATAACTTCTCACATGCATAATAAAAATGTAACTTCAAGCACTTTTATAAACCAAAAGCCTTTTTTTTAAATGTGACTGGTGATTCTATTCGTGCAGTGTTTATGTCCAGTTAAACAACTAATGTGAAAATTGTAAATACAGGCTTCAAAATAACTCAAGTGTTAACAAACTGGACTACTAAGTGGCAAGACGTGCTTCTCAAAGGTTTTTGGTAAGAATCAGATTTACAAGTAGATTAGCCCAAAATGTGTTTGCATAATTATGTCAGAAAGGTTTTTTACCCACTGCTGGCTTTGAGCTACGTTTTAGAGCTACAGACAGTTTAATTTGGCACCAAATATCACCATGAGTAGTGCCACTGGCAAAGGATCCATCCTTGTTTCTGATCCTGGATCAATTCTGACATATCAGATGGGAAACAGCATGCATTTTAAGAATTTAGGCTGATAAAGCACAGTTTCAGCTCTCAGCTTTCTATTAAACTCACTGAGATTTTGGTCCTGGTTCAGCTCAAAAAAAACCAAAAATGCATGTGGAAGAATCAGTCATTTGTTAAAACTAATATTAAGCTTCATTATTTGCTTCTAATTTGCTCTGTTTCTCTGTCACATTTAAAGAAAATATGAAGATCAGTTTTAAACCGATGCTTGCAAGCATCTAAATTACTGTAAGCTGTGAGAAATTATACAGAGAAATTTTCAGTGTTACAAGTTACACGTCTACACACTGACAGGCTGTATGTTGATGCATTAGTGTCAACACTCAACATACAGATCCATGATGTTGCTCAAAATTAGACAATTTCTTTCTGCAAAGAAACTTTTAGCCAGAGCTAAACAATCCAGAAATCTGTCTCATGCATAAAAGAAAAGAAGACCAATTCTATTTACATTATACATGCTCCGTTTCAGCAGTATACTTAGAAGGTATAGCATACATTCTCATTGCTATGCAGATGATACCCAGCTTTATCTATCCCTGAAGCCAGATATCACACACAGCAATTAGTTAAAATGTAGGAATGTCTTAAAGATATTTACAGCATTTCATTTCCTGCTTTTAAACTCAGATAAAAATTAGGTTACTGTACTCAGCTTTAAAAAATATTATCTAACCAGATGCTTACTCTGGATAGCATTACCTTGAACTCTAATAACACTGTGAGGGATGTCTGAGTAATCTTTGGCCAGGATATGTCATTCAATGCACATACTAAACGAAAAGGTAGGACTGCTTTCTTGCAATTGCACAATATTGCTAAAATTAGAAACATCCTGTGTCAGAGTGATGCTGAAAAACTAGTTCTTGTATTTATTACTTCTAGACTGGACTACTGTTAATTCATTATTATCAGGCTGTCCTAAATAATCCTCGAAAAGGCTTCGGTTGATCCAGAATTCTGTAGTGAGAGCACTGACATATTTCTATGTTTGCCTTCATTTCATTGGCTCCCTGTTAAATCCAGAATCACTTAATCTCTTTCTCATCACATGCAAGGTCTTGAATAACCAAACCCATCTTATATTTAAGACATCATAATAATATATCAACCAAATAGAGCACTTTGCACTTGGACTACTGGCTAACTTTTCATTCATATGGTATTTAAAAGTAGAATGGGAGGCAGAGCTTCCAGGGTTTCTGTGGAACTAGCTCCTAGTCTGGATTCAGGGGACAAAAATCCTCTCTACTTTTAAGTATTAGGCTTAAAACTTTTCTTTTTGATAAAGCTTATAGGTAGATCAGGTGACCATCCCTCAGTTATGCTGCAATAAGCCTAGGCCTCTGGGGGCCTCCCATGATGCACCGAGTCCTTCTTGTTCATTCACTTCTTTTCAGTCTCTGCATTTAATCATTAGCTGTCATTAATCTCTGGCTCTCCTCCACAGCGTGTCTTTTGTCCTGTCTCCCTCCCTCCCTTTGGGAAAATTACCCAACAGTTCACATTATCTACAAACTAAGCATACATTTTCCCGGTAAGTTTATGATCTTGGTCACTGGTTTTAGACCTTCTTCGAACCAACTTGATATTCATATTATAAATTATGGTCCCATTTAGAGTAAAATAGATGATGAAGCTGAACGTGCTTTAGGCTGTGGCTATCATGTTGAGGGAAGAGTTACCAAAATACTAAACTCAAGGCTTCAAATCAGTTTCTACAAACTAACAGGCAATGTCACAGTGGCTATAACCATGAGATTTACTGCTATGCTTGGGATTGTCCTGTTGCACAATCCAATTTAAGACAAGCTTTAGCTGTCACACAGACGTCCTCACATTTGTCTCTAGAAGAGATACAGAGGAGCTCATAGTCGACTCAATAACTGCAAGGTACCAAGATACTGTGGCTATCAAACACCATGCATTTATACAGTCAATTTAAATTTGAGTGAAATTTTAGATTTTTTTCTTAAGTTGTTACTTAGCACCGATTGGTAATCCACCAGTATCATTTAAAGAAATGGCTTGCTAACAAGGCCTAATAACACACTGATAACTTAGTACTCCACCCTGTTGTTCACATGTGGTCACTTCTGATTCCAAAAACCCAACACAGTGATGGTCAAAATCCTAGCGGCGGTCCTTCAAAATGTCCTAAACCAATGGGTAATATCACATTTGCTACATCTATCTTTTACATATGTAAAAAAAATACTAAGAACTATTAACACTTAGTGAGAATTTAACTGAGGACATAAACATCTGTGTGGTGGGGCAATGGTTGCAGACTGATCAGCAGTTCAGGGGCTCTGTTAGTCCATCCCAGTGGGGTCACTCCAGTTCACAAGCAGTCTGCCTCCTTGTCCGTTGGCACAGCAACAGGATATAATGAGACTAAATTAATGCTCTTTCTTGTTGTAGTCTGAGTGCTGTCATGATGATGCCTTCATCTCTTTGGTAACACTCTCCTGATTCCCCAGCAGAGCCATGTCTATGAATGACGGGCCTATGAATTGCCCAGGGACGTGTGAAAATATTCTATTCTGAGGGCGTTCAACCAGAACACATTTTGTTCAGAAACAAGTCCAGTTCCTACCCACCTCTTGTACACAATTTTAAGGTCTCTCCACTCCAGAAAGCTGCACATTTTAGGCTTCCGTGCCAGGACTGTCTGCACCAACTCTCTGGTGATCTTCTTTTTCTCTTTATCAGACAAAGGCACGTACCATTTTTGGAGCCTAAGCTTGCCTTGCCGACTGAAAAGAAGCATGAACTGCATCTGAAATGAAGAGATGACACAAAAACAGAGGGGCTGTGAATAAAGACATGAGAGGAAGGAGTGGGTGGTTAAAGACATCTGCACAAAGAGACACAAAAAAGGCATTCAAAAAAGAAATTCACAGCACTTTTTATGTGATGTAACATGCTGACAAGTTAAATTGAATAAAATGATGCCTAAAAATAATTTAATCAGGTCAATCAAATTTTGGAAAATGAATAATAAAGGACAACCAGTGCAAATTAGACAGTGAGTTGCTGTTTTTGGATGATCTGCTGCCATGTGTAAAAGATAAAAAGCCTGCTATAGATTATAATTTGACTGATACATGATTTTTTTTTAGACCAATACTGATACCGATATTTGATTATTTAAAACTCTCATACATAAGCCAATATTTTTTTTCCTTTCTGACATACAAAACCTAGACAGTTGTAACATACATAAACTATTTCCCTAACATCTGTTACATGTATTTGTTTAACAATCCTTACTAAGACAGTATGACAGCATTGTTTAAAAATAATCTTGTTTTAATTATCCTAAAGCTTGTGGATTACATTGTTACTCATAATAACACATCTGGTGTTTCTGTGATTTCCTCTCTACTTTTTAAATTTTCATTTATAATCTATTATACATGCCAATACCAATATATCGGAAAATAGCTAACACCAGCCAACAATACCAGCCCTGCTGATATATCTGTTGGGCTCTAGTATGAATCAATCGATTATCAGCCCACCGAATTAGTGAGGCTGATGTTCAAAACTTTTGTCACTATCATTTTCTTGTTTCTTGAAAATTTAAAGAGAACGCGTTGACCCATCTTGTGGGCGGGATGAAAATACTGCACTTGGACAATGAAAACTAATTTATAGTAACAAATAATAAACTGTTTTTTTTATTAACAATATTAAAGTTTAGAGTATTTTTTGTGAAAACACTCAATTTTAAAATTTTGTAATATAGACATAGTGATTCATTTTTCGCACATTGTTTTGAAGCTGATGGTTAGTTTTGTAATAGGCACTTAAGAATCTGGTTGCCTCTGGTAACCTAATAATGTATTTACTACCCTGTCATTTGCTAATGCATTGTATCCTGCAATCTTGTTTTCAGTAGCTTCGATTGTTCATCTTGAAATAAGGAAGGTTTATCTTAGGACCCTACCTACATCACGTCACTAATGTTTTTTTGTTGTTGTTGCTTTTCTTCTCCAAATATTACTGACTTTCTATCGTCTATGGTCATGACATTACTGCAAGTCCTGTGTAAACAGTGCTTTAAAACCAACACAAAAACATTGTTGTACATTAATAATAATAATAATGATAATAATAATTTGCTTAATGTTTAAATATCTAGTCGAGTAGTTGTGTGCATCCCTTTACCTAAGTTAACAGGGAGCTTCAGACTACCCCAAACAGCTAAAACTGCAATAGAAGAACATTAAAATTGATCAACGAAGTAAGTGTGGTAGTAACAGAGAAACCCAGTTCTCTATCAGAAAAAAGAGGAGTATCTATTGTCAATTCTATTGGTATTCCATCCATCCATCCATCCATCCATCCACTTTCTTTCGCTTATTTAAATCAGGATTTCAGGGAGGGGCTGAAGCCTAACCCAGCTGCCAATTGCTGAAAGGTTGGGCACACCATAGACAGGCTGCTAGTCTATTGCAAGGATTTCTCTTGGTATTGGTAATACATTTAAATTTATTCAAATTTCCTTAAAAATACATGAAAATAAGGATGGGAAAATGCACAACACTAAAAAGTTGACAAAGTGGCATGCCAAAAACAAGTGAGTAAATTAAGAGTAAATAACAGAACAATAGCGCATCAACTCCAATTATCGTTGCATGTACACATTATAATGTATAAGTAATTAGAAAAAAAGCAGCAAAGCTTTGAATAACAGCTTTCCTGTCATAAAATGTGGTCTGCATATTGCTAAAGCACCAGCATTTTATCTGACTGTAAATTTTGATACCAATCCCCTGGATTACTAAGAATGAGTCTTGGTATCGGTACAAAAAAAAAGCTATATCGATCGACCTCGACAGCCCTCCATCATACCAACACTATTTTCACTTCAGTTTTAAATACAGGGTAAACACTTGACGGAAAACAGCGCACAGGGCATGTTTTAAATTCACTAAATGCATTCAAACACATGCAACCCCACAGTTATTTTCACGGCCAAATTTTAAAGCATTTAAATCCATGTAGCTAAACCAGAAACATGACTGAAATCATCCCGTTTCAGCCGCTATGAACACAGACGAAAGGAAGTACCGTTAACACCGTTATTCAGCGACTGCTACCTTTAGCACGTCCTGTTATCATAGAGCCTGTTAAAAAACCCACAGGTGACCGAGCGCGTTTGTACATTTTAATGGAAAAACAAAATTTCACAGATTCAAAACTACTTACCTTGAATAATAACACTGTGTATCCCCCCCTCGGAAGAAATGAGCCACCCAACACCACCCCGAAACACGGCCAGTCTATAACAACCTTTTGATTGGCCACTAGGGCGAACATGATGATTTTTATTGGCTGACACGTTTTTGTAGTCCCCGCCTTTGTCAACGCGCTAATTAGACAACATACAAATGATTGGCTGCTACGGACAGCAATCAAACCACTCCGTCCCGCCCATTCAAACTTCATTACCTCAAACATATGCTGAATGATTAAACAGAGACGGAACAACCTGAAGTGAGACTGAAAAGATATGGAGAACAAAAACTGAAAAAATAAAAATTAAATTACTAAATCTAAAAAATAATTAAATATTTAAATTGATTACACTGAATCTATTACAAAATTAAAAATGTATTTTATTATTTAATATAATCTCTCTATATACATTATATTCTTCTTATGTCTAAGTTTACCCTTACTTGTCATTTTAATAGTTTCTGCTGGCCAAAAACTATTCAAAGACAAAAAGACAAAGCACCACAGTATGTTGCAAAAAATGTATTTTTGACTTTTTAAATTTTCCCTACCCTATTTATTTTCTACTTTTGCATGTTAATGACGTCCTTTTCTGTGGATTTTTTACGGAGTTAAGTTTTTGCCTGCTGAAACACATCAGATCATTCACTAAACTCTTCAAACATTTTAATAGCAGTCTTGCGCCATTCCGACATACATTAAGTCTCCCATCTGACTCAGTTTGGTTTGTGTGCTGCAGAGTGGCCATTCAGTCCACTACCTGTCAGGTGATGACACACCTGAGAGAACTTTTTCCACACTTAAAACTGAAATTTTGGGCAATTCAAGCTGCAGTGCTGAACTGAGCCTCGGTACTGTTAGCTTTGTTTTTTTTTTATTTGTCAGTTAAAACACACAGAAGTATTCTCATAAGAGTAAGGATACAGTGCATCAGGTTTAGCCAATAGCTAACTTTCATGTGCTGTAGAAGAATATGATATATGCAAAACCTAAAAAACATCTAGGCCAACATACTGTAAAATCGGTAAATGACATGAAAATGATGATGAAAGGATGGAAATGGATCTTAATTAAAAGCAGGTGTGTGTGTCACCTGAGGATCTGGTCTTAAAGGTGTTATAAACAAAGCTCTCCAAGACATTTTAATGGTAGAGGTGCAGGATTGCAAACTTTTTAAAGGGCAAAATGAACATCTGAATAGAAAATTAAGTTCTCAAAACAGAATACTTTGTGCTTACTTGGTGGGGAAACTGTTGTGGTTTCCTAACTGGAACTCTAGTGTGTCTATTTTACTTGGACAGCCAGCACTGATTGGGGATTTGAACGGATTAAAGTCACTGCAAAGCTTCAATATTCTAGAAATAAGACTTTTGGAACAATCAACTTGCAACATCTGCCATGGTCATCTTTTTGACCCACATTTAAACAACCAGCTTTTATAAGATTTCAGGCACCTTAGGGCAACTTGTCATGTTATAAATTACAATTATCAGCCAGATAACTGACAAAAACAAGCAGATGTGAGATTACATCCCATCTCTTCATGCTGGGATAACTCTGAATTGTAAGTAACTCTCAAGCTTACAAAATTAAAATCTCCGCCTATATTTACAGTAGCCTTTTTAAACAAATTATTAAACTTGTAGGTTGTGAGTTTTATGGATGATGGCAATTGTGGGTAACTGTGATCCATCCCAGTGTAAGTCAAACATATTAAATGAATATTAAAATGTTTGTAACTATTTCTGATTTCGTTGAATTTAAAGTGATTTTTTTTGTCATAGACAAACCTGCTGCTTTCAGGCCTATTTGATCATATTTGTTTGTACCCAAACTGAATACTAATTCGCTGGTACTGGTCTGTGTCTAGATATGGCTTACCTAAAGCAGCCTTTATCCGGCACAGATAAATGAAAAAGTATATTTATGATAAACACAAATGTGTGATGTATAATAGGACCATAAATGACCTTAGTGACAAAATTAGCTTTTTCAACTGAGTGTAAAACCTCAAAGACACCACTGCCATCACGAATGATGCCCACTTTTTATTGATGAGGTGATGACATTCAGTGCAAGAGCACCTGAGGGAGGTGTCTAAGGGCCAATAAGGAGCATTAGGTAAGGCCATTGCAGGCCTGTGGATTACAGTAATCCCATCCACTTGCAGTGGGTATCATACACATCTCATTTCAGCACAGCTGAAGAGGAAAGATGGAGATGCCTGCTTGTCGAGCTGCTGTGCTTTTCCTCCTGCTTCTCTCTCAGGGTAAGTCACTGTGCAGCTGATCCTGCCTTAAAATAATCGCAACAGTTATTGTGCCTTTATGATAATGCTAATGGTCCCACAAGTTATTAAAACAGCAGTGAGTAGTACTACACAAAAATGCTGCTGCTGCAAGTGAAATTATAAAGAGGGTAAAAAGCTTTTCCTTGGTGTTTCCTTCATGAAATCCTCAGATGCAATCCAATAATTCATAAGATTATTTGACATGGTGCTTCTTTTAGGTCATTTTCTTTTTTCTTACACATTTTATTCTATCATCTGCTCTTACGTTTCATGCTTCTGTCGATGGGGTGTATAGCCCTTGTCACTGTTCACTCAGAGGAGGTAAGAAAGAGTCTCAAAAAGGTCTAAAATGTGGTTTAAAAGTCTTAAACTCTGAGAGCAAACTCTCGATTCATTCCACCCTGTGTGATCTCCAGGAGAAGGAGGAGGAGGTCATCCAGGACCTGGACCTGCAGGAGGAGGACCAGGAGGTGATCGAAACCTGGAGCACAAAAGCGAAAGCCTGCACCTGTGACTGCGAATCTGCACGCATCCCTGCTGTCATCCCACCTGTTCCCCCGACCTCACTGCCAACACCGCCACCATCTCAAAGTCACCTGCTGAACTGCATGCCAGGTGAGGACTCCACCTGTGTAGTCCTCTGTCTGTTTCACTTATACTCATGCTGGATGCCCTTTTTTAGGTTTTAAAAAGTGATTAATGGGTTCCCCTTTATACGAAGGACACTAACTTGCAGGAGAAAGTCACGCATGTGAAGATGAATGGTGGGCAGAGTTGTGTCCTGTGGATCTTTATTTAACATCTGTGATGGATCAAACAGCTGATGGTGGCTGGCTGTGTCCTCATGTGCTTTCACGCTGCAGCAGTGCACAATCACCTCTCTGATCTTGCAGTTTTTCAGCCTGTAAGATGAAAGAGGCTTGCACTGAAGGTTAAGAAATGAACAGCTGTGAGGAAGAAGCTTGCACAGGCAAATGCTTTTCAGATAATCTCATTACCTGTGCTGGAATGTGACGAACAGATTAGGGAGCCCAAATAGGCCATGACCTTCACCTATGATACCAGCAAAGGAAGCACACATCAGAAAATGCCCCGATCATCTTCTTCTACCTCATCATGCAAGAGTTCTGATTAGCAAAGTTGGACTATTACACGAGGATACTTTGCTGCGTTCTTAATGTCTTTAAAATGGAATAAACATTTCATTTCAGGCAGCTCTTCTATCACTTCTATCATCCGCTTTTCTGACAGCTTCAAACCAATCCAGTCAGGGGTGAGAGGGAGTAATTTTCATCTGAAGTAACTGATATATTTTTTATTACCTGAAGTCAATTTATCATCATGGAAAAAAGAAAGTAAACCCTGTTTCACTTCTTTGGTTTAACCAACCGGGAAAACCATCTGGTCCTTACCTGGTCTTAAACATTGGGTAAATAATGCATCAGAAGAAGGACGACACATGACATATTCCACCGTGTCATTATTTATTGTGAAACTGCAGAAGCATTATGCAGCAATGACTTGAAATTATTGTTTTCCATATGACTTTATCATTCTGTCATATCACTGCGGAGGGATTTTGTCGCACGCTTCTTCACAGCATTCCTTGAGTTCATTGAGGTTAAGGTGAAAAGCATTAAAGTGAGGCTGAGGTCTGGACTTTGACTCGGCCTTGGCAGCACCTTGATTCCTTGATAGAGATGCTGCTGGGCTTTAATCATTGCCCTGCCTCATGACCCAGTCTTGTGCAAGTTTTAACTGCGGGGCACGTGGCCTCACATCTGCCCCTAGAATACTTTGATATACGGAAGAGCTCACGGTCGACTCAATGACTGCAAGGTGTCCTGGTCCTGTGGCTGCAAAACAAGTCCATTTCATCACCTCTCCACAACAGTGCTGACAGCTGGTGTGACATCTTTGTGCTGATTTGGTTTTCTGCAAATATGCAGTCTTGTTGTTTTTTGACAATGTTAATCCAATATTTTGATATTTCATATTTCTAACATTTTCTACTTTTTATATTTTTTTTTTGTTATTTGATGAGCTTAGCACAACAGTAATTTTGTTGTGCTTGCACAATGTCAGTAAGGTTGTTGGTACCTGTTGCTCACTGCTCGTCTAAGCAAAAGGCAGATAGTATAGCATCATGACCACCCCATACAGAACATAACATAGTGTAGTTGCTACCATGTGAACGTGTAATGTTTGTGCTCAGTTAAATCTACGCTGTGCTCTGCTTCAAAACATCAAATGGCATTAAGTCATTTTTAACACAAAAACGAACCAATCGCTGCATCCCAGCTCATTGGAAGTGTTTAGAAAGTTTACTAAGTGTTTATTTTCAGGAATTCATACGATTTAATGCCACAGTAACCTGGAAATGTTTCCTTTCACAGAATGTCCGTACCACAGACCGCTGGGATTTGAATCTGGATCTGTGACCTCAGACCAAATCAGCTGCTCCAGTCAGGACCAGTACACCGGCTGGTACTCCTCCTGGATCCCGAACAAGGCTCGCCTTAACAACCAGGGCTTTGGGTGAGTCAAGGCCACCCAGTCTCCAGTTCATGTCACACAGCGCACCCCGGATAAACAAATAACTGGGAATGTGAATCTTTGTTAGGTGCGCATGGCTGTCCAAATTCAACGATCAGTACCAGTGGATCCAGATCGACCTGAAGGAGGTGAGCGTGGTGTCGGGTGTCCTCACCCAGGGCCGCTGCGACGCTGATGAGTGGATCACTAAATACAGCATCCAGTACCG